TTCAAAATATTTAATGCAGATGATTTTTGAGGTTTTTCAGTCGCAAATGTAGTGATCGATGCTGCAAATTAATTAAATTAATTAAGTATTTGATTAAAAGGTACTTCAAAAAAAAAAGAAACATGAAATAATCTAGTATTATTTTACCAATGATGGGGGGTTCTAAGAGAAGTTTTTCATTAAGAGATTCTATATTCATTGTAATGTTAGAATCTAAAAGCTCTCTATTGAAAAGAAATATGCGTTCGTTCTTTATAATTATTATCAAATGGGTTAAAAAATATTGTGTTAATAAATCGGTGCCCAGCGAGTGGAGAGAACGACGTAATAGAATGTTACCTTGACGTCTATATCATCTCTAAGTTGGATTCCAGCACCTGTTATTAAGATCTGTGAAGATATTGGAACACCGGATAGTTGTTCAAGCTCTGCTTTAAGGAAACCCAAACTATAAAAGAATTAATGAAATCAAAAATTTTGTAATAAGCTACTGGGTAGACGCGTACATTCACTTTCAGGATTAATACACTTTGACCTCTGCTCAACGCTCAAAGGCTCATTTAATATTTGATCAAATACTATTTATTATTAATGGTGACTCTTCTAATAAAAAAAAAAGAGTAATAAGCCTTATTACCTCTCGAACTTTTTAGAGACTTTAATACGTTTTCCTGTTTCCGCACGAAACACTTCCATAATTTATTATCTTTGAAATATTGGTTGCAAAACAAAAAACTGATTATTTTCGGTACTTCTTATCACAGTTTAAAAGAAACAAACTAAGTGGCAAAAATGAAAGGAATGAAAGGAATGCAAGGAAAGACAAAGAAGTATAAATACGAATCACTATTTTTACGTAATTAGATTACGTAGCCCCGGAAAACGGAGTATTAATTGTATCATGTGTAACTAACAATGCAGAATTTCGGAATTTTTGAGGGAATAGAAATCAGGTGATAATTGTCATAATATCGAAAAGCATATAAAATCGGGCGATATCAGATACTGTACAGTACTGTATACCATTACATATTAACGCCCTAATCAAGTATTATGCTCACGAACTTAATAAAATTATGGATCGAGTCGAAACTAAGTTAGGCGACTATTATACTATAATTTTACTGTGCTTACCATTGTTCTGCTATATGAAAACAGGAAACAAAGCGATGTTATAGCGTAAAATCTACACGTAGCGGTAGTCATAGGCAGACATTCGTATGATTGGCTGTTTAAATCAATTTAATTTTACATTATTTATACAGTTTAAAGTACTTTTTAAAAAAAAGAAAACTATGAAGAATAAACAAAAAAGAAGTATATAGAAAGTTTTATTAGGGTTGTAGGACTCCACTATTAAAAATAATCAAAATTCTTTTTTGTTTTAGAGAAGTTAGCACGGCGAAAACCTGATTTTAAGAAGTCGTTATTATGCTAACTTTTCTAAAACAAAAAAGAATTTTGATTATTTTTAATAGCGAAGTTCTACAACCCTAATAAAACTTTCTATATCCTTCTTTTTTGTTTATTCGTAGTAGTTTTCTTTTTTTTGAAAAGTACTTTAAACTGTATAAATAATCTAAAATTAATTTGATTTAAACTGCCAATCATACGAATGACCCATATGATAAATTTCAGAATGATATCATTGATTTAATGTCATAATACGTTTAACTACAGACCTGTGTAATGCTGCATCTCTCTTAGTTGTGTCGAGTATAATGTATTTACTATACAAATGTTTATTTACCGAAAGCTATCTAAATCCCGTACTACCTTTTTTTTTTTTTTTACGTTAATACTTCTAAGTACTCCATATTTATTTTCTTTTTTTTATTCGTGTTAATTTTAACTCTTTAAAAAATACATTATATTATTAAATAAATAAAATAACAATAAAAAATCAATTTGTTAATCGTTATTGACAAAAAAATCGTAATTATCGTGTGCAGGTCTTGTTAGAAATTATTACAGTATTATTTCGATGTATCACTATCGCTTTAAATTGAACGATTAAATTATATATGCGGTTATATTTGATTGATGTTATGTTTCCCAAACCTATGAATTTGGTTTTCTTGGAATTAAAATTGCAGGACAACGTTCAAAACATTATAGCCCATTGTCCTGAGCGTCTCGGATATTAAAAAATTGCGGAACAATGTCCGTGTGTACAGCGTTGGTCATAGCGTTACCACTCTAAAAAATTCCGTTGACCAATTATGAGCCGCCTTCTGCGCACTAACAAAAAGTTTTTCTTGTAAATTTTTAATACAGTAATTTTATCTAATGGCAAAACATCTGTAGTTTGAACCCGGTTTTTAACATATGTTAATCCCGATTTTAACATATGAAATGAAACCGGTTCAAAACTCTACTATAATTTAATGGTAAATTTTTTTCTTTTAGCGAAACTCCTTAAGATAATGCTGGAACAATAGATTTTCGAATATCACATGATATATTATGACACTGATAATACTAATAATGATAATACTAATAAATGATAAGTAATAACAATAGCTCACAAAAGTACAAAAATCAATAAACACAAGAATATTGATAAGAGAGACACCCGACTTCCAGCTTCAACCTTTTCCACGATATTTATTCATTGCCATGTTCAAATTTCCATAAATAAACTGAAAAGCAAATTAAAGTATAATAACACGAAAGACGTGCGTCAATCATTCATCACATGATAATATTGCAGCAAAATCGAATTTTTTGCATGATAAAAAGAATAATAAGCACATTCTCTTTCTGAACATCGTTTATAAAGATATTAAAAAAGATATTTTAACAACCTAGTAATTTGAAACGATAATGCCAGTTTCGAATTTTAAAGATCGCATGGTTCGAAAATATGCAAATATATATTCGAAAAGCATCGGTACGACTGGCCATGTAGTTGGATCAATGCCGGCTAGCCAAAGGTGCCGGAAATAAATTCAATTAAAGGACATGAAGTCCGCAGAATACATTATGAGTAATT